AGACAAAACTCACTTTCGCGTGCAGTTGTCATTTACTTCCGACACCATGTTGACTCATACAGTATAAATAAACTGGCAAAGAGTTCTGCTTCATAATCTGTGAGTTTACTGACCGTACATACACATCACACAGCAGCTATACATTTCAACACACTGACTACTCCAGAGAGAGGGGTGGGGCCAGGTAGAGAGAAACCTCATACAATTAGTGAAGTCACACATTGATGTACTACACGGCCTAACCTTTCGCTACGCCCATTGCTCCACCCTGCAGCTATCCCTAAAGCAGATATAAACACTCTCAGAAATTAAACTAATACAGCATTTGACCACTAAAGGACGAGCCATATCACCACAAAATAAATGTGCTATTTGCTTTGTCAAGAATCACTACTATTGCTTATAATAGGGTTAATAAAAAATGTCAAAGCATTGTTAAACCATAAAGCCATAGACCATGGTATTCATATTTCTCTATATATGATATAAATCTCTATAAATATCTCTACAAAATATTTACAAATTACTTTTCCTACTGTATGTACCTGTAGCAAATTAGCTCAAAGGGGGAATATTTATAATTAATTATAACTGGTAATAATTAATTATAAATATTTAGATTAGATCTTAGAATTAACTGTAGCAGAATCAATATTTCAATTATTTGATCTGTCCGTCCACCGAGCAGACAATATAATTATCAATTCTAGGAAAGATAATTTTCCTGGATAAGAAAGATTAGCTTTCTTCTTTATGCAGTACTAGCAGTAGTTTAGCATGTAGTAAGGATCAACATTCAGTGACTCTGAATTGTGAACAGCACACAGAGACAATCAATTGTGAATATGAGGGATTTAATAAATGAAACTACAGCTAACATACAACTAAACTAAACAAAACATATATATACAGAATGAAGGAAAGTAAGGAAAGAGAGAGAGAAGAGCAAAAGAATGACAGTATTTAACATCAATTAACCACAACCTTATGAGAATCATCAGAGAAAGAAAAAAACACCTTGATCAAAGGGGCCCAAACTTAGACGCGCATCTAAATAGTTGAAACAGTTACTTGCATTGGCTTTGTTGCTGCAACAAGAGTCGGATGCAGTAGAAGACGGAGGTTCTTGATGAATTCGTTGGAAGTAGGCTGGAGGCCTTTGTCTGGTTCTTCTGAAGATCAGAGAGTCCACAGCAAATCAACAAAGTTTCTTGAAGGTAAAACTGCCGGAAAGTCAAACTAAAGAGGAGAGTCTTAAGAGTCTTGGAGAGTGTTGGTCTCAAGAAGGTTTGAGAAAAGAGTGGTTTGGGTCAGGGACTTCTTTCCAGTCACACCCATCTTTGGAGGAATGGTCAATATGAAGCATGGGTTTTGAGTGGGAGAAACTTTCTTTGTCTCCATTTATGGCCCATTTAAATGTTTATATTGCTGGGCTGGAGAATTGACCTAAAGTATAGTACAAACAGTATGATGCATTTCATACTCTCATAATGTACACCATTGTTTAGGAAATAAAGAGCAGATTGTTTCGATGCCAAGAAAGAAACAGCTAGACGTTATTAAAGCAGATATACATTCATCTACCTTGGTACAAGCATTTAGAGTTTAACTAATACCAATACAGAGTTGTAACTAGGCTAATATACTAAGGGGAACATACATACAACACATACACATACCGTATACATTTTATACCAGCTTAATTATGTCCTAAATAAATAAAATGTATTTTTTGTGTGTGTTATGTGTTTGGAGATACCCAGGCATCTGGTGCCAGGTGATCATATTCTCAGTGGAATGTGTTTGAAGTAAGATGGGGAGACCAGAGTGTTGTTCTGTTTAGTATCTTCTGGATGGTGGGGGAGGACACTTGGACATTTAGCACCAATATAAATGTAGTCTTGATTGATATGTCAATCTTGATTTGGGAACCCCAGATCTCAGAGTTCATTGAGATCTGATAATGTTCTGTAAGCAGATAATAAGCTCTTTGAACAAGTAACTCAAACAGGATTAACCTGAGATAGATTTTATATAATTTTACTTAATATAAGTAAAAGTATAAAGGGATGTGCAGCAGCCAGTAAAAAGTATGTAACAGAATAAACAAATTAAATCTAATTTTAAAACACATATTTGGCATTTTGTTGTCACTTTCTCCACAGTGTTGTTTTAGTGCAGTTATTACAGGTTCAGTTCCTGAGATTCAGAGTTTGATCAAGGACACAATGGTGATATTTCATGGATCAACCCTTGCAGGATTTGAACCTTTAACCTTTCTTTAACCATGAAGCTACAGTCATGGCCAAAAGTTTTGGCAGTGACACAAGTTTTGTGTTTTCCAAAGTTTGCTGCTTAAACTCCTGTGGTGTTCATTCACATTGTTTCTAGATTATTGTGTAGAGTGATCAGATGCATTTTAAATAATTTGCTGAAAGCAAGAAACTTTTCACACACCAAAAAACAAAAATTCACAGTTTTTTGATCCTGACACAAAATGACAAGCTAACATTAATTGGCTAATCATATCAGCAGCACATGTGAAAGTGTGAATGAGTACTAGTCAGGTTAATCCCTATCATACTAATTAGATTGTAAGAGCAGACTGATTGCTATAAAAGGAGGGAAAAAGCGCTTCCAGTCATTGTGTTCTTGTTAGCAATGGTTACCTCCAAACGTGCAGCTATCATCGATTTGCATCAAAATGGCCTCACATGCAAAGAAATTGCTACAAAGAATATTGCACCTGAAAGAACCATTTACCGGATCATCGAGAACTTCAAGGAGAGAGGTTCGACTGCAGTGAAGAAGCCTTCAGGACGTTCCAGAGTATCCAGCAAGTGCCAAGACCGTCTCCTCCTGAGGAGTCAGCTACAGAATCGTGTCACCAGCAGTGCAGAGCTTGCTCAGGAATGGCAGCAGGTTGGTGTGAGAGCATCTGCATGCACAGTGAGGCCAAGACTTTTGGACAACAGCCTGGTGTCACAAGGACAGACTGAAATTCTGCAGGTAGTACAATGATTGAACTGCAGAAGACTGGTGCAAAGTTATTTTCTCTGATGTGTTCAAAGCTCCCTTCCGACTGTTTGGGACATCTGGAAAATCGATTGTTCGGAGAAGAAAAGCTGAATGCTTCCACGAGTCCTGTGTTGTGCCAACAGTGAAGCATCCTGAGACCATCCATGTGTGGGGTTGCTTTTCAACCAAGGGAGTGGGCTCTCTCATAATTCTGCCCAAAAACACTGCCATGAATAAATAATGGTATCAAAACGTCCTGCAAGAGCGACTTCTTCCAACGATCCATGAGCAATTTGGTGATGATCCGTGCATCTTCTAGCATGATGGAGCACCATGTCACAAAGCAAGAGTGGTAAAGAAGTGGCTCGAAGATCATTACATTGAAATTTTGGATCCGTGGCCAGGCAACTTCCCGGATCTCAATCCCATAGAGAACCTGTGGTCACTGTAAATATTGACTAATTATTTATTTTTTTTGCCAATAAAAGCCTTTTAAAACTTATGATATGCTTATCGTTGTTTTTCAGTATACCACATAAACATGTGGAAAAAAATATCTACAAATACTGAAGCAGCAAACTTTGCAAAACACAAAATGTATATCACTGCCAAAACTTTTGGCCACGACTATAGCTCCTAAATCAGTGAAACATTAGGAGTAGTGAAGAGGACTCCTAAGTCACTAAGACCAAATCGGCAAGTTATGAGCTACTTTTAGGCTTAAGATGTTTTGTGAATACGGGCCCAGATCTGTGGTACAGGTTTTTGTGAGGAGTTTGGCATATTTCTTTGGCAATTTAAATTATTTGTATATTTACACATTTACAACAAGCACCGTTTCACTTCATGAAATATAAAAAAAAATTGTTTACACTTTCAGGTAAAAATATTAAATGTATGATTCATTTTTTTTGCACATTTTTACAGTAACTTTGTACAGTAATGGATACAGCAAAAGGTTGTGGGTTTGGTCCCAGGGAACACACATACTGGTGATAAAATGCTTTGGATAAAAGCGTCTGCTAAATGCATACATTTATGGTGATGCCACTGATAGCCTCAGTCTGATTAGGGGACATCCCATTGGTAGCGTTCTTCATTAGAGGGTCGATCTGATTATAGAGGACGTCCCATTGGTAGTGTTCTTTATTAGAGGGTCAATCTGATTAGGGGACGACATATTGGTAGCTTTCTTCATTAGAGGGTCAATCTGATTATGGGACGTCCCATTGGTAGCGTTCTTCACAAGAGGGTCAGTCTGATTAGGGGACGCCGCTTGGTAGCTTTCTTCATTAGAGGGTCAATCTGATTAGAGGACGACCCATTGGTAGCGTTCTTCATAAGAGGGTCAGTCTGATTAGGGGACGACCCCTTGGTAGCTTTCTTCATTAGAGGGTCAATCTGATTAGGGGACGTCCCAATGGTATTGTTCTTCATTAGAGGGTCAATCTGATTAGGGGACGACCCATTGGTAGCACTTTTCATTAGAGGGTCAGTCTGATTAGGGGACATCCCATTGGTAGCGCTTTTCATCAGAGGGTCTGTCGGATTAGGGGACGTCCCATTGGTAGCGCTTTTCATTAGAGGATTTGTCGGATTAGGGGATGTTCCACTGGTAGCACTTTTCATTAGAGGATCTGTCGGATTAGGGGATGTTCCATTGGTAGCACTTTTCATTAGAGGATCTGTCGGATTAGGGGAAGTCCCATTGGTAGCGCTTTTCATTAGAGGATCTGTCGGATTAGGGGACGTCCCATTGGTAGCGCTTTTCATTAGAGGATCTGTCGGATTAGGGGAAGTCCCATTGGTAGCGCTTTTCATTAGAGGATCTGTCGGATTAGGGGAAGTCCCATTGGTAGCGCTTTTCATTAGAGGATCTGTCGGATTAGGGGAAGTCCCATTGGTAGCGCTTTTCATTAGAGGATCTGTCGGATTAGGGGAAGTCCCATTGGTAGTGCTTTTCATAAGAGGATCTGTCGGATTAGGGGATGTTCCAGTGGTAGCGCTTTTCATTAGAGGATCTGTCGGATTAGGGGACGTCCCATTGGTAGCGCTTTTCATTAGAGGATCTGTCGGATTAGGGGACGTCCCATTGGTAGCGCTTTTCATTAGAGGATCTGTCGGATTAGGGGATGTCCCATTGGCAGCGTGGTTCATTAGAGGGACTGTCTGATCAGGGGACGAGTCTTCTACAGTACCATTCTTCTGTAAGTACAGAGATTCACAGAAGGTAATATTAATGAACAGCATTGATGATTCAGTTACACAAATACAAAAATACAATAAAATACAAGACTAGAGAATGCTACTGTCATAAATTGTGTGTTCTAATAAGACACTTTTTTAGCTTATATGGGAATTTGTGTTTTTTAAATTATTATTAATATTTTATTTTTATTTTTTTTTGGCTCTGCCTCAGCTTGAACGTCTGTATTTATGTTGATAAAAATACAGGTCAAAAAACTATAAAGGACAACTAATCACAGTGTAAATTTATGTTACACCATGACACTAAAGTGGGGTCAGAAACAAAATATTATTAATATAATAATATTAAAAATATTAATAACTGTTCTTCACTGTAAGGTGAAAATTATTAGTCAATTATTATTAATACTAAATAAAGTTATTTCTGAAACCACGTAACACACAGTGTAACAGACACTCCACTTACAGATCTCACAGATCTGAATCTGTAGTAAATTCTGTTTTTTAGCAGGCAGACATAGTTAATGCACATAGAATCTCACCTGATCTCGACCTTGATTGTGCTGCATCTCAATGTCTGTTGAAACAATAACAAAGTCAACTAAATACACATTACTTTGGTTAGTTAGAATAAAACTACATTTTCACATCTTTTAATGAGTCTTTTCACACTACACACAATAAATCTCATATTTTCAATCTTGTTAAGTCACCTGTATGTAATACTCACCCTTTTTTGTCCTGTCTTGACACTTACGATAGTAAGCAGCAGCAGCAGCAGCAGCAGCAATGAATAGCAAAATAACACCAACACTTATTCCTGCTATAGCAGCTGGAGATAGTCTTGGATCTGAAACAGCTAAAGACAGACAGTCATTATTACTAGAGAGTGAATGATAATCCATGTTATCTTTGACTGATATTTACACCTTTCTACTTTGATCGGTTTTGTGATATTTATTCAACTAATAAATGGCTCCATCTGGTGGGACTTTGAAGAATGGCACCTAAAGCAGCATCATTGCCTTGCTAACTGAACAAGAAACAGTATCACTATTTGTATACATTTTTTCTGTTGATAACAACATTTTAAAATTGCAAGATTCACAATGTCACATAAAATGCAATGTGAAGTCAATTCCGATAGCCTTGTGGGCATTGTTCCAACATAGCAAGATTCAACAATCTGTGTTTTGTATTAGTGTCTTTTTTGTTTTTAAATCTTGGATTTTGTATTGTTCCTGATTTAACGTCCATATGTAGTCTTGTGCATGGTCTTGGTATTTATTTTACTGTTATCCCACCCTAATTGTGTCCAGGTGTTCCTTGTTTGCCCTTCATTAGTCATGTATTTATCCCTGGGTTTGCCATTATTTTTGTCAATTATTGTTTGTATTCATGGGTTTTGAGCTGTATTCTTGTTCATGTCATAGATTATGTATTAGATTTGGATTCATTAAACATTTTTTTATATGCATATAGATCCAGCTTCCTCACTTAGTTTTCAACAGCACGTTAAGATAGCGCAACTATCCTGTGTGCTGATACCATTACCCTCTCTTCGCCTCATGCTTTCCTGTCTAAAAAGGATGTAAAAATACAATAAATAAAAAAACTAATGTGAAAATTGTGTCACTTGGCATGCACGTGAAGGTGATAAATGTGGTATGTGAATTAATAGACAGGCACACAGAAAACACACATTAAAGACATGATTTAAAAATATATATACCCTGCTTTTAAACATTCTTTAAATTACTCACCAGTGATAGTAACATTGAAGATCTTTGGACTGATGCTCCTGCTGTTGTTGATTATCTGTAGTTTATAGAGTCCAGAGTCTGTGGTTCTGGTGTTTGTGATGGTCAGAGATCCAGTCTGATTATCCAGCTGCAGTCTATCTCTGAATCTTATTTTACACTGTTCATCTGTACAGATCTTACTCTGATCTCCACTAATTTGAGCTAAGCGAATGTTATTAAAATACCATATAATTTTTTCTTGTTGGTTTGCTGTAACACCAGTGTCTAGTGTGACTGAATCTCCCTCCATCGACTCTCCATCTGTATCAGAACCAGACACACCTGAAGAAGAAATTAACAGTTCATTATAAATCACATATTGGTTTATGTAACACATGCAAACAGCAGAAAAACGTCACTGAATCACACTTTCTCTCATCAGACAAACATACACCAGTCTTATGGATGATCCTAGACAATTGAACATCATACAAACCACATCCTGGTTCATATTTTACCCTCTTTGTCTATACATAGCCTATATTTGTGGATTCAGTCAACCAAGTATTGCCATAGTCTAACAATCAATGTTATCGAGTGCACTCATTCAATCCCATAATGCACCACAATAATAAGTGACGTGGCGTGACGTGACATGTGGCCAAGTATGGTGACCCATACTCGGAATTAGTGCTCTCCATTTATCCCATCCAAAGTGCACACACACAGCAGTGAACACACACACACACACACCGTGAACACACACCCGGAGCAGTGAACAGCCATTTATGCTGCTGCGCCCGGGGAGCAGTTGTGGGTTCGGTGCCTTGCTCAAGGGCACCTCAGTCATGATATTGAAGGTGGGAGAGAGCGCTGTACATTCACTCCCCCACCTACAATCCCTGCCGGTACGAGACTCGAACCCACAACCTTTTGTCAAAGCCATTGACAATCCAATACTACCTGAATAACATCATTAATCCAGTCACTGTGCCTCTGCATGAGCAACACTGATTTCATCTTCATGGACAACATGATGCCCCAGCTCATCGAGGCCGCATCATCAGGGAATGATGGGGTATCTCAAATGGCGTGGCCTGCACTTTCTCCAGACCTGAATCCCATAGAAAACCTATGGGATCAGCTGAGTCATCATGTAGAGGGTCGTAACCCAGCACTCCAGATCCTCAATGACCTGAGGGCAGCCCTTCAAGAAGAGTGGGATGCTATGCCTCAGCAGACAAGAAGTCGACTTGTGAACAGCATGAGACGTCGTTGTCAAGCTGTAATTGATGCTCAAGGACACATGACATGTTATTGAGACATTGACAGTTGTTGACTTGTTGTTAGCTTTTGTTTCAATAAATTGTTTGAGATTAAGAAATTACCAAGTACTTCTACTTAAATGCCCTACTTTCATGATATAATATCACTGTAGCATGAACTTTTTACATATTCTATACATTTCACCCAAAAGTCCAATATCCCTAACTTTTTGTGAATAGTGTGTGTGTGTGTAGGCTATAAGAAACTTTTGGATCTTCTGACAAGACAGGAACGTTAATTTTTCAGAGATAAGACACTATATAAATCACACAGACATGCCTGATACCATCACCTTATCTTACAGTAGATACTGAATTAAACTACAACACTCTAAACTGCGCCTGACAGAAGGGGCAACAGCTTTCGCGCATGTCTTTTAAAATAAAAGTCTCGCATTAGGGGGAAAACATTGAATTATGCTTTGTCGTTGTTGTTTCTTTGACTACGCACTCCACGACCCACACAAAACCATCTTGCTAAAGACAACCCACCGTTGAGAAGCACTACTATAAAACGTCCAGAAATACAGAAATAAGTATTTTACCAGGCAATGAAAACGACACATAGTGATTGTGCAGGAGATCTGTTAACTGATTCCCTGAAACTTTTGCCATCTCTCCTTAAATACCATGTGATTATAATTATTTTTTTGCACACTATTAAGGGGGTTGCACATGGACAATCGGATGATTAAATGGGACCTTGATACCTGTACTAGAATACACCTTATTTGTATATAGTAGGTATGCAATATTGAGGTGTTTGTTGCCTTGTTTGTCATATACTGCTCCACACTCCAGTCTGGTATGTGGCGATAATGCACCTTTAAAATTTGTTGTCAGCCACCAATCAAATCTAAAGAAGAAGAAGAAGAAGAAGAAAGCCCAAAACCAAGACGGGATCATGACACTGGGACTTTTTGTCACCATAATTTGGTGAAATCGACTCATATAAAAGAATATAGTCTTTTTTATTATTATTTATTTGTTTTAATTTCTAGTTTGTTTGTTTTGATTGGTTTTTATGGTTTATTTTGTCCTACAAGCAAAATCTTGATCCATACTTTATTCCAGTCGGAGGCGGTAATGCACCAGTCAGTTAGGTTGCCTTTGTCTGGACTCAGACAATCATGGAAAACGCAAAATGAAACATGGCAGGCCTGCGAAAGCCACACTCTTGGTGACATTTTCTAGAATTTATTGGTGGTTAAACTGTGTTCCAGGGGATGAGGCCATTTTATTATACGCACCGAGACATTTTGAATGACAGTAAACATTTGTAGTCACTTATAGTCCACATTCAACATTACATGCATTTGGGGTAAGTTTCAGGTGATCTCAGCATAAGTAGCCTATGTATGATGAGGATGCTACTTTTGTAGTTACGAGTTCAAATGTAGAACAGAAATCTAGGGCCCATGATTTCCGTGATGCGGAATCCAGTCATAAAGTGTCACGAAATTAGTCAGATTTTGGATGAACAAATCAAAAGTAGGTCAGTATGCTTAAATCAAAACGCGATACTGTGTGTGTAACTCAAGAACTGCTCTGAGAGTTTTTATGAAATCAAATAATTAGAGATGCTTTTGATTATTAAAATTTAATGAAACGATTGAAATAGATTATAGAAAATTAATGAAAATCACACAATTTGGTACAAAACAAAACTGAATTTGAAGAACACGTATTTCACAGGGCCTTAAAATGCAATTTTGTATGTAACTTTCAATAAATTACTATTAAATTGTTTAAATTTCATGGTATCAATTAATTAGACATGCTTTTTGATTAATATTTTTTTAATTAACCATTAAAACGGAGTCTAGAAAAATTAAAATAAAAAAAACGGAATCCTTAATAATTAAAAATAAATCAAATAGATTTCATAGGGCCCTAGAAATCTCTCCGATATCATTTAAAATATCCGCATTTGTCTTTCTAAGACGGTTTGGAATGACATGAGGGCGAGTGATGGTATATGATGGCCGAATTTTCTAAACAGAATATCTAAATATTCAGATGCATTCACTTGAGAGGCAAAATGAAGATATGAAATATTGCTTTCTGAGAATCAAAATTTAGTTTATGCTTAAAACAAGAACAAATATCTGTCAATGGTGTTTGAAAAATTGTTGGATTGAGTGAATTGCTCTGAGCCCACTGCTATTTGTTCTTGTTTTAATCAAAAGCTCACTTCATTCTGATACATTTCACAGAAAACAAGACTTTTTTTTACTCATTCAATTTGCTTCTCCATACTAAATTTATCTTGATTTAAAAATCTTTAGACAATTGTACTGGACTAAAATACTGATGGAGAACATAGCTTTTTTTGCTGTGGGATCAGAAGGTAAAGTAAATGTTATTTTTATATTCTTGTAAATGGAAGCAACGCTATTCGAGCTTTACGCTTAAAACTACATTTTTGTATGTATTGTCCTCGGTGTGAAAGTGCCTTAAGACAGACTGCTGCAAGACTGCTTTTAAACTAAACTTCAGTAATAGTGGCTGTCAACCAATATAACAAACAAAGTTATATTTGCTATAATAATAGGCCTATATATAATATTTATAGTGTATTTGAAAACTTGGTCTGGCCTATGTCCTTATAATCCTGTTGTGCCTTAAGGAAGAATTTAGGTATAAAGAGGAGAATCCAAGAGCAGAGTCTAGTTAAAAGAGTAGAACACACATTCCAATGTGTCTAACTAGCTACCCAAGAAAAAGTTTAAGTCTGGTGTAGCAATTAGTATTTAGCTGTCAGTCTGGCCTATGAACTGTGAT